CCTATTTTTGGAAACCCCCATATCTTTCGGCGATTGCCCTGATATGCGCCTCCACGGAGAAGGGCACGCTGCTGGCTCCGTGAAAATCTGCTCGCCAAGCCTGCTAGCAACAGGACGAAGACCACCAGGGCCAGGCCGTCTCCAAGCCTTCTCGGAGAGCATGAAGATTTTGAAAGCCCGCAACAGGGGTCCAAAGACTGACAGGCAACCAGCACTTCAAGACTTGAGCCGGGTAAAGCCAGGCCGACCTTCCAAATGCCAGTCGGTCAAAACCTCCGGAACGACCACGACGGGCACCGCGACCTCAAAAAGACAAGCAAGGAGGGGGAGGGGGGGGGCGGGCATCCCTGCATGCTGGGCTCCTGACCGACACCACAGATGCGCCTGAGGACCTGAAGTCTTCCGATGCAGCTCAAGAGCTCCTCGGAGGGCCTTTTTTTTTTGGGGGGGGGNNGGGGGGGGGGGGGGCCTTGCGACTCCGACTTGGACTTCCTACGCAGGGACCGGGAGTCTTGCGCTGCTCAACACTCAGCTGCTTCTTCCTATTTTTGCTGCCATTCTGGTTACACCTCGTCCTCTTCGCGACCCCACATCTGCTTTGCTGCAAGCTCTACCACTGCTGCTACTCCTTCTACCCTCATTGCAGCTCCTGGTTTATTGACTGCCGCTCTTCCTTGTCCTGCTGCTACTGAGCTACCACATGCCGTCACCCAGTGACCGAGTGATCTGAACATTGGCATGTGTTGCCAAGTGGCGCAGCATCCGTGCCTTTGCACCCGTCACCTTGTCGCAGGCCCGGGCTACAGCTGTGCCTACACCAGCAAGATGATCACTGCTGTATGCCTGCTGCCACCGCTTGAGGGGCGCAGACCTGTTGTCCGAACTGCTTCGAACCGTGTCTTGAATCCTAATGACACATCTGACTCCTCCGAGCATGCATGTTTCTCGTCTCATGTTGAACATCCGCGCCTCAGCCTCGAAGGCGTGCTGGACCCGGGCTGCCACGGCCAGGTTCGCCACGAAGGACAGGAAGCCATCCAAGGCCATGGCCTCAGTTCGAGCTCCGTCAATGGGCCGATCACTCCATGTCCAGTGGACCTCTGGGCCTCTGGGCCTCTGGGCCTCGGGCCCAATCCTGGACTCTGGACTCCGCTTCCCTTTCCAGCCGCTCCAGGCTCATCTGCCGCGCAGCGCGCCGGTCCTCGCCCTGCACGAAGCTTTGCTCAAAGCGGGCTGGACTGGGGAATTGGAGTTTCATGTTCACGAGGCCTCCAAATCCTCTGAGACCCAAGGCGGCTCCCACTGCGACCTCTGTGGCTTGTGCATTGGAAGCTATACTTCTCTGGGGCTCTTTCTTTCTCTCTCTGAGTCCCCAGCAGCAGGCCATCACAGAAGGCATCCAGGGCAGTAAATCTCTGCCAGATCTCTTCCTGTCGCTGTCTGTTGCGTGTGGCGCATCATTTCGGCTCCAAGCGCCACACCTGGCCCAGCAACTTCATGACCTGCTCACCACACAGGCCCTCTTTCGCTTCTCTCACGCGCACACACACACACACACACACTCGTCACAAGCACTGCCCGAGCCCCATGCTGCCAGGATCAATGCGGGAGCTTCGCCGTGCGAATCTGTAACCTCCTTCGCGAATCGGAAAAGCAAGGGCGAGGTGGGAACAACCCACAATCATCTTGCATCGAGTTTGGGGGCTTATACATGCTTATACCTGGGCGCCACTCACTTGTCTGTCTCTGGCCAAGCCCCGGCAAGGGTGCGGTGCATCTCGCGTTTAGGGATTTCGCCAGCTTTTGACGAGGCTCTTGAATCATCCTTTCCGGGTTCATGAGGATATGGGCCAGGTTCCGAGGAGAAATTCTTTCGTCATGGATGCATCGCTAGGCTCCTATTTCATGGGAGCTTCACAGATAGGGTCAGGGGCCAGCAGTCACATGAATGAGATGTGGATATTTGCGTTGTTCAGAAGTCTCAAATATTCATGCCGAACCCATCGTCACTTTGTATACGTTCACTCCCTCCGAAAGGCAGATGCGAGAGCCCTAAGCCCTAACTCGGAAATCCTAAACCCTAAAAGCCCTAAACCCTAAATAATCTAGGGACTCAACCCCGATTGAATTCCGAGAGGTCAGGGATCCGGTCGCACTAATCGCCTGGAGCACGCTGAGATGGAGGAACCGGATCTCCGAAGGGAGGCTCCCTCCCGGAGCCGCAGACCTCGGGATCTGACGCGACAGAGAGCTGCGGGGCGACGGCAACCAATGTGCCGCTTACAGTAACTTACAGCCGCCAATGCCGCAATCAGAAAGACCGGTGCAACCGTTCGAAGAAGGCGAAGATTGCACAAGTATCGCACACGAACCACCGTCACCAGCACCAGTGGTCAGCGCTCTGCTTCTAAGGGCTGCACGGTAAGGCCGCCTGAAACTCCCCGGCACACGCCGGCATCGGTCGGATCGCTTCCTTTCGCAAAAAGAAAGGCGGCTCAGTGGCGCAAAGTCTCGTCGCCGGGCGCAGCCTCCGGGTGCTCCGGGTGCTCCGGCCGCTCCGGCTCTGACCGCTCTGGCTCCGGCAGGGGGGCTTCTGGCTTTCCTTTCTCCTCGGCTTCGTCGGCTTCGCTTGAATCTGCACCAAGCCCGGCTCCAAAGCTGATGAACTGCTGCGCATGACACAGGAGAACTCCTCCGACTGTACACTAAACAGCTGAGAATGACTTAGCTCCCCGACATGCGCAAAGACCGCAACGGCGGGAGTTGCACCAAGCACTGCCATCAGAGCTTGCTTCCTGCAACGCGACAGAGGCTCTTGCAAGTCGCCACTCCTAGGGTCCTAGAGGGAGCCTCAGCAATTCGTCGGAGGCAGCCGGAGCAGCACCGTCCTGAGCTCTCAGAAGTCAAGCGAAGCCATCGTGCAGTCATCCAGGTGGGGTCCCCACCAGCTCCTGCGACGTCCGCTCCCTCATCCAGCTCAGGGGAAGCTGCAGACTCTCACGCCCTCATTGCTCGCTTCAAGATGTGCCTGGCATCCGTGATGTTCGGAGATTTCGGGCTTCCTCGTGGCTCTTCTGGGCGCAAGGTGGAGCATAAAGCACGTCTAAGCCCCAAGCTGGGCTGAGCCGATGACCGTCGACAGCATCGCTGCATGCAAATCTCTTGGATGCCCCGGCCAAGTGGATGAGCCTCGGTTCGAGCTGAAACTGCGGCTTGCACGGCTACATGCGGCGTGAAGCGTCGCGAGCCTGCAAAAGGGCAGCACCGATCTCGACTGCTGGCCTGGTTAAACGAGGCTTCTCAGGAAACGTGGGAAGTGCGGCTTGTTCGTGACGGCCGTGACGGCCTTGCGGCCACAGCACCTCGCCCCCGCCAAGCCTGATGGCTCGGCAAGGCCTACCGGCCTACGTACCGGCAGCAACACGCAGCCCCCGCCTCACCAGCTTTTCTATCACATCCCGTGACCCGGCAGTGCTCGGAAGGACCTCGGCCGACTCACCCAGCGGTAGCGTCGGCTCTCTTTCAACAAGGAACCCATAGCCACGGCTGCGCATACCTTCGCTTCTACAAAACCGGCCAAGCACGTCTGTGGACACACTTCCGGCAGCCAACCATGTGCACGAACGTACGTTCGGTTTCAACCATCCACACTTCCCGCAAACAGAGCGTCTGGGCCAATCACGACTGCGCTTCCTTGCAAAAAGAGTCACCGCAGTGTGGGCCGCCGGGTACATGCTTTCCAAAGCACTGATTGAAAAAACAACGCATGGTGATCACAGACAAACCACGACCGCACAGAGAGAGAGAGAGAGAGAGAGCTTTGGCTGGATCTTGTATCGAATTGCTTGCCCGTGCGGAGAGTTGGTTGTCCCGGTGTGCCTGAATGTACCTACCGCCATGGTCGGTTGGTTGGCTGGTCGGTGGCTCATGGGATCCTCAAAGAGCCCCGAGCATGTGAAGCCTTGCAACGAAGCCTTACAACCATCACTGAGCAAGATTCCGATCAACTCACGTTGTGGCTTGTGGAGCATCTCTCTCCTGCCTTCCTGATCTGACTGATGCAATAGAAGATGCGGTAGCTCATGGCGGTATGACGCGAACAGAACCACGAAGGAGGGAGCTTTTACGCAAGCTGCAAGCAGACATACAAGCTGTGGAGCCCTTTCCTTACTTGCAGCTGAGGCCTAACCGTCAACGATCCCCCGCTTGCGTGAGAAGGAGTCCACGGTGTCTTGGAAAGTATCTCGAGTGGTTTCTTATCCCCTTCAGCCCCGAGCGACAGCAAAGCATGGCTGGCGGTCACAATTTTCCAGGACGATGCCAGCCTCCGCATGGCTTGAGCACTGCATAATCAGGCAAGATCACATGGTTCCCTCCGCTCGCCATCGGATCTTGGATCACATGCAACACGCCCTTCTGCCTCCCTGGCACACTGCCAGAGCTCGTGGATGACCTCACCCAGCGCTGCAGCCTGCGGGAAGCTTCTCCGCAAGGAGCACAGGTGACAAAAAGATGCTGAGGGTCCACACCCAGTGTTGCACAGGAGTGGCCGAGTCGTGCAGCATGTTCTCATTGAAGTCCATGCCCTTGACACCCTCCAGAAGAGAGTGAGGCACATGACGGAAGGGGTCCGCGCCCTGTGCCCTGCCTGCTCCAGCCAGGGCGGCCGCCAGCCGGCCAGGACCTTTCCAGCCAGCAACCCTTGGAACGTCTCCGTCTGGAGCGCTCTACTCCGAGAAGGCTGGGTTCGCCGGGCCCCGCCGCAAAGATCGTCGGTGCCTGGAGAAGAACCCGAAATCACTTTCTGCAAAGGCTCCCCCTTCTTTTCGGAGATCGCCGGGGCCCAGCCCAGGGCCCAGGCCTGCCAAGTTCTCCTGCAGCTCCTGGCAGCAGGAGGGGCTGAAGCAAATGGAAGGGGCCGGGGTGCGCCCGGAAGCGGGCGAGCAGCGTCCTCGTCTTCGAGCAGTTGCCTCGCTGCCTGGAGTAAAAGCACGGCCTCATGTCGAGCCAAGACCTCGCACTGAGAGGCTTCGCAAGGGCGCGGGAATCTCGCGAACTCGGCGGCAGTGGGCCCGTTCTTGCTTGAGCCTCAGCCTCGCTGGTGGAGGCCTCCGTCGCCGGGTGCCTTGGGGCGAGGGCGAGGCGCCCCTCTGCAGCGGCTCAGCGGCTCTCTTTTCAAAGATCTCAGCCTTGGGCATCCTAGCGCTCGAGTCCTCGGCCTCCGTGCCTGTGGGGACTGCGGAAACACTCAGGGGCTCAGGGACGCCAATGCACGTCTGTCTCTTTTCAAGCGGCCAAGGCGCATTTCAGGCCGCCAGGGTTCGCCACCCATTTCTTTCATGCAGCTTGAGGGGTCTGCATGCTTGCAGCATTAGTCTAGGAGTAACAGCTGCTGAGTCACAGCGGACGTTGCCATACGAGTAGGAGAGGGTCTTGGGGATCTGTGCACAGAAATGCAAGCCCGTGTAGCAGCCTGGGCCCAAACGCCTGCTTAAAAGCCAGTCTCGAAAGCGTCGCACGGGTGGAGGGATCCGATTACTTTGAGGGCGGGCTGTAGACCTAGAAGCTGCAGCAAAGAGATGAAAAGAGGCTGAAGCAAGTGCTTTCAGGGCTCCAGGAGTCTTTTGTCACCTGCGCGCTGGAGTTTAGACTCCACCCCATTCCGAAGGTGGCGGTGAAACCATAATCATCCTGGCTACACTTGAATGCTTATGCGCCTACTGACGGCTGTGACATGCTGTGACCTAGGCTCCGTCCTGCAAAATCAATACGACAATTGCAGGGTTTTGCCATAGAAATCCTACGTACCACTAGTTTATGGTAGTCAAAAGGAAGGGCTTCGCAGCGGGAGCACTTCCCTCGCGACGCGGGTCACTTTCTCCTTCTGGACCTGGATCTTGAGCGCTTTTTGTCTCGATCCTTGACGGCAAACGGCCACTGAGAAACGGCTGCTACGCTGCAAACTGAGGCCGCGGCTCGATCCCTATCTCTTCGGTCCCTGTCCCGTTCCTTCGGACGTTCCTTCTCTTTCTCCTGCGGAGCGACCAGAGCGAGAGAGAGCGAGAGGACCACGGTGGCCGTTTAGACTCAAGGGCAGGTCCTCGCGCGGATCGTAGCTACCTCTCGCAAGGCTAAACGCGGTGTCTGCGGTGTTGAGGCTGTAATTGCGGCAGAAGATGACTTTCTGAGGCAGAGGCCTGGCAGCCCCAGCGACTTTGGGGCCACGGGAAGCTTTCCCATCGTGTCCAAGCCCTGGTGAAGGAAAGCCATGCCACATGCATCGCTGTTTTCGTTTAGCCCGCCTGGAGGAGTGTCATGAGCAATCCAGAAGGTCTTTCAGCACTCGCCAAGCGAGTATCAATGGCTTTCAAGTCCTTTTTTTGCTCAGGCAACTCAAAAAGAGAGAGAGAGAGAGAGAGAGAGAGAGAGAGAGAGAGACAGAGAGAGAGAGAGAGCCTGGCCTCCTGCATCGTCTTTTTCCTCTTCCTCATGCTTTCCACCAAGCGCTGAGTCGCTCGGTCCTGGCAGCAGCAGCGGCAGCAGCGGCAGCCCCGTGCTGTGCCTCCCCGCAAATCGAGCCGGCTCTGCATCTAGCTTGTACTTGTTTACCACCGCCATCATGTCCTCAGTCAGAGACGGCTACGGAGACTGCAACAAAGCGGGAAAGTTGGACCTTCGGAAAGGCTCACGGCGTCGGAATCCGAGTGGCCGGGTGGATGTTGGATCGCGTGACGAAGATGCCCCGGTCCAGCTGAGTGATCAGCACGCCGATGTCGGGCCGCTCCTACACGCGATTCTGCACAACTCCTTCTGCCTTCTGCGAGACATGAGCCGCTCTGTGGTGCCTTGGAGAGCCGGGACCGGACGGTGTTCAAGTCTTCCTCGAAAGTGTCCGGCCGCCTCATCCTCAAAGCCCATCCACGGATTCAGCAAGGCGCCCTAGCTTTGCATCGCTTTCCCTTTATTCATTTCTTTCAGGCGCCCACATGACGTCGTTCAGCTTTCGCATGAGCCGGTCCTAGCCCGGACACATGGCAGAGCACATCGGTGACGCGCGGCCGTCGGTGCTCTCTCCTCGATGCCATAATCGCGACAAAGCTCCCTGACCCGGCTGTCAATAGGCCTCGATAACACACAAAAAATGCTCCCATGTGCCCGGAGATGAATATCCTCCAAGGTCCAGGCGACTCCACTTTGCTTGGCTCTTCTTTCTTCTCTCCTGCTGCTGCCAGGCCTGTGTCAAACGCCAGCTGCTCGCACTTTTAGAAGTACCCTGCTTTTCCAGCCCACCTGCGGCACCCCCGACACCACCCATCATCATAGCCATCATGGGATTGGGCATCATCATGGATGCCAAGAGCATCGGGTTGGCACCTGGCAAAAAGAGCAGCGTTTAGCGATTGCCTTCAATGAAGAAGCCGCGTCGGCCTGGCAGCATTCCGGGCATCATGCCTGCCAGGCGCGGAAGCACAATTAAGCCCACACACACACACACACACACACACACACACACACACAACCTGCAGAGCTCTCTCTTTTTGGCCTGGCATTGCCATCCCCGGCAGCATCCCGGGCATCATCATGCCTGCCGTTCTAAGGGAAAGCTGAATACTGCGAGTGCGGATTCCGATGCGACTGACCGATGGCCCGGCGGGACTTGGAAGGCCATGACGTTGCAAAACCGAAACATCCCCTTGAGATTTCATTCTCAACAGGTTACCCGAACCTGAAAACTTCCCTGACTTCCCGAACCCCCTCACCCAAGGCGGGCCCGGAAGCATCGGGGGCACCACGCCAGGTGCCGTCGGCGCACCGGCAGTGGGTGCCTCCGCCGGGGCGCTCGGGGCACTGGGCTCGTTCGCCTGGCAGAGCGGGGCAGCTGAGAGTAGGGTGCAGCGTTGCTCTCACAGTGAGCACGAAGTGTAGAGAACCCGCACATGAACATGCGCCGGGTGAAGGCGCCGGCGCGTGTTTCTCACACTGGGGCCTGGACGTCCGCCCCGGGCCAGACGAAGTCTTCGGCTCCCGCCATGGCCGCGGCGGAAGGCGCCGCTTTCGGCCCGCTCAGCCCCTGCAGCTGAGATGGCAAAAAAAGGGATGGGAGAGACGCTGAGAGGAGAGAGAGAGAGGATGGGGCTTTCGGATGCAGAGGAATTGATCCCCGCGCCTCTCCAAGAGTCCTCTTTTTGCGTGCTCCCAGGGCCCGACCTCACTTGCTGTCAAGCCGTCGCAAGCCGTCGCAAGCCGTCGCAAGCCGTCGCAAGCCGTCGCAAAGGGCCTCCGAAGCCGGGGCCCCAGGCTTCTAGGAAAAGGCGGGCCACCTGAAGGCAAGAGGTTTGCTTCCTGGCATGGACTTTGGGCTTTCTTGAGCCGGCATGGCTGCCCCAGAGCAAAAGCTGCCGGCACTGCCTGCTGCCTGTGTCGCTACCCATAGCAAAAAGAGAGCCCTTGGGCACCGCTCCATGATGCTCCATGCCTCTATGCCCTGCTCTTTTTTCACCGCGGTGAGACGTGCATTACATAAGGATCCGGTACTTCTCCTCGTCCGGGACCCGATTGACAACCTTGGTTGCTCGAGTGCGCACCCTAGCTGCATCATCAGCCACCTCCCGCGTGATGTTGCGTGATCAAATGCTGAGGAGAAAGCCAGCTTCCCGTCGAATGACACAGAGGCGAAGACCCAAGCATCTGAAGAGCTCCAGCAGCAACTGTAACATGAGTCCTCACATCCATGTCAGGTCACATCTTCTGTCCTTTCTCAAGGCAAAATCAGGCTTCCTCCCTGCCTCCCACTCGCCGTTACATTCTGGCTCTCACTCCATCTCTCTCTTCCTTCCTCTCTTTCTCTTTGTCCCTCTCGTCTCTTTCCCTCTGACTCCTCGTGCTCCTCATACTTCCGGACCAGTCCGTCCGAGGCACGCGCGGCCTCCTGCAGAGGAGGCATGCTGGTGCCAGTCCGAGCGCCTCTTTCGCATTCGCATCTGTGCGCCTCCCCTCGCTTACCTCCCAGCGGAGCTGAGGCCACCTGGGAGCGGGTCAAGGCAACCAGGTGAGCGCAAGCACCCGAAGTCACAAAGAAGGAGCGGGCAGAGGTCGCCCGCCAGAGGCAAAGCATGGAGTCAGTGCCGCAGGAGAGCACCAACCTGGCTCCCAACCCCCACATGCACCGGCTCTCAGGCCATCTTTGAAGCAGCCGGGCTGGCTGGTCGTGGTGAGCATTGAAGCGCGCCTTGACGACCTCGAGCACTTCAGCAGGCTTTGCCGAGAAAGGAAGCGTGAAGCCAAAAGCCCGCAAAAGCCCACAAAAGCCCTCTGCCCAGTGATGATGGCCACCGGATAAGCTGCGCAAGCACGTGGACAGTTGCCTGGCCAGTCTCAACTTCGGATCGCGGTCGCGGGATGCATCTGATGCCTGAGATCCCAGAAGCGTAGGCACGCATCCTTCGCAAAGCGGAGGCTTCCAGAACGCACAACGAGTGCTCAGGGAAAGCACCTCCCCGGTGGTGAGCACCTGATATGGCACCTCCGAAGCAGCAGAGGTGCCCACGCCCACAAGATGTCTCTGGAGTCCCCACGTTGGGGTTGTAGTCCACATCTTTGGCGCCAAACAGGTGAACACCGTCCTGCTGCGTGCAAGCTGCCGTTGCTCAGCTCGGCTCCCACTTCGAACGGCCTTTCGGAAAGCCAGCCGGCTCGTTCGCAGGTCCCACGTCTTCAGGTGCCCATCATCCACCTAACCGCGGCTTTCAAGACGATGCTTGCATAAAAATGCAGAAGCTGCATGCTTTGAGAAGTCCGCCGTGCTCAGTTGCTGCCGGTGGTGAGGATCCAGACACGCTCCCATGCACCTATCTTTGCGCCAGTCACGCTTCCCTCCCACCCCAAAAAAGAGCGTCCCTCCTTGCCTCTGCCCCACATGCAAAGTCACCTGGCGGGAGAGCTTCCCGCCGCCAATGTTGAAGGTCTGGACAGCCTGAGGCATGTCTTGCTTGCGGCAAACGTTCTGCTTGGGCTTCGCTTGGGCTTCGGAGTATCACGAAGGGAGGCCAGCGTCGCGGGCGTCTGAGATCTACACTGCTCTATCGTTCTGCACGACTCGCCGATCAATGCTTGCCAAGAGAATGCCACTGGCGGCAGAGGCCCGTGATGTGTCTTTACGATGCCGTCGTGGCCTCGGCGTCTGCCACGACGATGCAGCCCTCTTGGTGGGGATCCCAGAGCGCAGTCTTGACCTGACGTGCTCCCACGCTTCCGCGAGCGAGGCAACAGCAATAGCCCCTTCTGGCTGGGCATGGGACGGCGCTCAAGGGGTTGTCCTCATCGCTCAGGGCCAAGGGCTGCTGGGAGACCTGCGGAAGGAAAGGAAAGGAGACACTCTCGGGCTCTCGGTCTGGTCTTCTTCTTCGTCTCCGAACCTGGGAGCCGTCGGTGCGGATCAGCCGAAGGCTCGGGCCTTTCGCAAAGGCTCTCGGACGTTTCCTTCTGCTCCTTCTTCTTTGGCGACTGGGCCCCAAGCTGCTCTTGCCGCCGGAGTGGCACAAACCGGACGTCAGGACCTAACAAGAACATAGAGAGAGGACAGGGCGCAGGGACCGAAGGGAGGAACGCGGGGGTACGTGAAACCCAAGCAGGCTGCCCTTGAACAGACAACAAAAAGCAGCGTCGGCCGCTAGAAAGCACTTGGGGCTGCACCGTCTGAGAATCTGAAGGCGAGGGACTGATGAGCCACACCTGCGAGTGCTTTCCCCTCCCCTTCCTCCATTCCATCCTTTCGTCTCAACCTCGTCCTCGATTTCGAAGGACTGCTTGCCTCAGGAACAGCGCCGGCGATTGCCTAAGACCCAGATCCTAGATTGCCCTCGGCAACCGGCAGGAGACTTCCGCTGTCTCCTCAGAAAACTCCACCTGTGAGCAACTCTTCGATCAGATTCAATCACATGCACATACTGCTTGGCTGTGGACCACGTGGATCTCATTCTTGTTTTGGAGATCGCAGGTGCCTGGTTCATGTCTGCAAAGCCCTCGATGGAAAGCCGCCCACGGACCCACCCGGCACAGTCCGCCTACCATAAAACGATGGCGCCCAGGGTCTCCCGGCCTGGAGAGGTGCCGGGGGCCGGATGCTGGGACAGAAGCAGAAGCGGCATGAACGCCCGCATGCAACCGCTGCACAACGCTCTGTGGGAAGCGGGGGACCCCGGCACTGCGGCGACGACGCGCGAGGGCTGGCGGCAGAGCCAGACCTGCAGAGAATGCAGCTTGGCAAAGAGGCCACACCTTCACAGGCGGCCGGGGCCCCGGGGCCCCGACTCCGGCTCGTGGTGGCGGCGCCGCCATCAGAAGGGCGCCGCAGCCGCACTTGCAGCGAGCTCCGCCATGGCAGGGGCTGGAAGTCGGACGTGCAGAGCTCTGTCAGTTCTGAGACCGGCAGAAGCCGAGTTGCTGGGTTCTTGGTTCCTTGGGCGCGACACGCCAAAGCTAATCCCGAGTCCGAGCCGGAATCCAGCAAGTTTGGCTGCAAGACTTGAGCGCCAAAGCTGAGTCCTGCATTTGCTCCTACGCGCAGGCGCATGTGGCTGGGCCCAACATTTTCAATCGACGGGCGAGTACTGCCTTTCGAATGTGGGAGGAACGGAAACACCTCTGGGAACGTCGTCGTCGACCTCGCACGGCTGAGGCCGCAGTGGCTTTCAACTACGTTGCTGCATGCCCCTTATGGCCCCTATCGCGTTCGTTTACTTCTTGGTGCTCTCTACTCCTCTTCTGCTTGTGCTTCGTGCTGCTTCTTAGCGCTCTCGATCCCTGTCGCATTTGCAACTTCTGCTTCGTGTTGCTTGCAGTGTGTGCTTTGTGGTGCCCTTGACCCCTAACCGTTTGCAGCTTGTGGATCAAAGGATGTGACGGTTGCAGCGGAAATCAAAAAAAACAGGCTAACAGAAACCAACGCTGCAGATGGAAATGGAAACCAGCGGGGCCTGTAGCGGAAGCCAGGGAGCCATCCCGGTGTACTTCCGGTTGTACCCTACCCAGTTTGCACCGCATGTCTTTCTTGCCCTCTCACCCTCACCTGTTTGCAGCATGTGCTTGTTGGCGCTGTCTACTACCCTATCCTGCTGCTTTCTACCCGTATCATGTTTGTACCATCGGGCCATTTGCGACAAACTGAAAACTAAAGGAAAGACAGAAGGAGACTTCGGATGGC